GCAAGCAATAAGATTTCATCATATTATATTTCTGTTACAGCTGTATGCATTACCAAATGTAAGAATGCATTGTAAAAGGTACAATAATCATTAATATCAATCAAACTTATGTATTATCAAAGGTTCGAGTGCATTTAACAAGGTAAGTTAATTATAACGGTATAATTAAGGTAATTTCGATATTCGCATTGTCAAAGGTGCGTATACATTAACAAAGGTATAAAAATTATAAAGCAATATCGATTATCGGAAAAGTGTGCTATCTTATGTATTTCTATTACTACTAACAAGGGGAGTGTCTCAGGTGTCTCACAAGGGGACATACCCTAGTATGAAATCGATATAGAGATTTTATTGGTCGCTATCGGCACATTAGAACTTGTTAAAGACTATTATAACTAGGTCAGACGATCGCTCGCCGAAATCGGAGCGTTAGTAATAGATTGTTTCTAACGTATTTTTCAATGCGATGTTTCGCAAAATCAATCAATCAATCGTATTTGTTGAAATAAACATTTGGCAATTTTATAGAGCCAAATTTAAGCCGCTAAATGTTGTCCAGTTGTCCGCTAAAAGTTGTAACCAAAGAGTAAAGGAAGAAGAGAGAGCAATTCAATACTAACTCTGATCCAAAATTTTTTTTTGGTGTCAGAAGATGGCGCGAGAAAGAGACTCTTTCTTTCTACTTTCTTTACAAATTTTTTACTCTCCTTTTCTCTTTCATTTCTCTTTCTTTTCACCATTAAAAATTAAGTTAACACAATTAATACCAACATTAGAAAAGGCTTTTTTGACTACTTTTCAATCGTTTTAAGATTATTTTAATTGATTTTGATGATTTTGATGCTATGATTTCTTATTTAATGATAAATTTGTAATGATTTAACCGACAAATTTCACTTTAATTAACAAAATCTGGCCTAATCAAGCAAAAGTCTATCAAAAAGTTTTTTTCATCATTCTATTACAGTTTTGGGACTATAAAACTGTAATAAAACTTCATCTTATATTCCATTATAAGATGGAATTATAGATGCCTGAAATGATGTGATAGAAGTTAGAGAAAAAATGAAATCGTTTGACTTCATAAATTTAGCCATCAATTATCAATACTTGAGATGCAACTCTGGAACTTACGGTACTGATTCCATCGAAAATTTACTGTTCAAAGACTTGAAAATTCTAACTTGTGATACTAACTTACATCATTTATAATATTCAAAACGCTATAAAATGTCTGCTTTTACAAATTCATTTGCTTTTTCTGATTTCAATTGGAATCATCATCACTTTACTCTTATTTTAATTTTCCTCATTATGCGCAGACATTTTATAGCCTTTTAAATATTTCCAATGATTTTTCAGGTCTGAAAACCCCAGAAAATGAATTAAAGTGCGAAAAAAATTCGTAGCAACTTTTCATTTTTACAAGAAAACGGGTTTTGACCTCAATGTTCCTGTGACACGAAAGTTTTCTATCTAAAGCCGACAAACCCTATCGCTAATTTTTATGCTCTATTGAATGAACATAGTCGCGACCGGAAGCCGCTGACGAGGTACATACCCAAGTATGAAATCGATATAGAGATTTTATTGGTCGCTATAGGCGCATTAGACCTTGTTAAAGACTATTATAATTAATAATAAATAATAATAATAAATTAGCTGCTATCTTTTCGGTTTCGGCATTTTATCGCCTTTTTTCTATAAAATTATGTATGTTTCTGTTTTTTATGCTCTATCGAATGAACATAGTTTCGACCGGAAATCGCTGAGACAACTGAGACACTTCCCTTGTAAGATACCAGAAAACTTATAATGAACCCAAAATAGTAAAGGTTTCCAGTTATGAAGAGACACATTTTGTACTGGATTCTGTTAAATCTTGGTTTCTTCCCAATTGCTATGATGATTTTAATTTTAATTGTGACAATGTTGAGCTATATTGTTATATTTTTGATATTGATTGGTCAAATGTTTTCTCCACTAGATTAGTGAACTTATCTGGTTCTTTAATGCTATAATTTTAATTGTATGATCTTCGATGATCTAAAAATTGCTAAATTATAGCCCATGATGAAATCTAATGATTGGTCAAAGAATGATGATTTTAAGTACTGCCATTCTCGACATATCAAGGCTAAAAGTTTTTAGGCCAATGGCGAAAATCAAGAGAACTGTTGATAAATTGAAAAAAGTGTTCAATAATAAGTTTCAGATCTCTAACTCTCAGGTCACAGAATGGCGGAGGTTTAAATGAAAATCGTAGTGATCTGTTTCACAAAAAAACAGAAAATTTTTCACAAAATAAGATTTTTTGGTTGACCATCAATAGCTACATCAGTGAAATGAGTTTCATGGAAAAATCCAGTTTTATGATTGTACAAAAGGCGATCGAAGTTTAAACTTTAAACTGGATTTACTTGAAAACTTTCTATTGGAGAAAATTTTTAATAGCACGAATGGACTCAGCTCTTATGTGCCTACAATCTTATAAAGTCCATACTCTTATAACTAAAGTCATCTATTTAGCCGATAACTAAAGCCAATCTATTTTGTTTAATTTTGGTAAATTTTGGTTTATTTTGGTTGTTTTGGTTGTTTGGTTGAATTGTGGTTTTTTTCAAACCCTGTCTTTTAAATTACAATATCTGTAATTTATGATCTGAAAAATAAATTTTAAGAAATATCAACGACGACATCAACACCATTACCAATGTCAAGCGAATATGGAGTAACAGCTCTGTTTAGAAGTTGTCGAGATTCTTGTCGAGCTGAAAGATTAGCTTTGATGGCGTATCCAGCTTCAAACCACCACCAAAGACTACCAAAGGCCTACTAACAGGTCCAGCAGGGGTTGGTGCAGAGTCTGGACCACAGGTGTCGCTACCAAACCAATGTCCGGGCGAGCAAGCGGGAGAATCGACGGATTCGGGATCGTAATCCGGCGCGAACGAGAAGAAATCCACTAAGAGAATGAATAGAGAAGACAAGAGATTAGTCTGGTGAAACAGGAGAATATATCCTTTCGACTGCGCCAAATGCGGCCGTTCACAACCGCTAACAGTCAAGGGAGGGAGATTTAACTTACTTTTCTATGGAGATGAACCAAAAGTGAAAAGTAAGAGAGAAAGGGGTGGGAACTTACTATTCTAAAACCTTTCGGTTTCAAGTGAATAGTAAGAAGAGAGAGGGCAGCACAAAGGAGTGAAGAGCCAAAGTTGAGAGTTTAATTCTGTGAGAAAACTGGTTTTTTAAGGTCTCTAACTTTCCCAGTAGGTAGGGAAAGGCCATTATTGGATAACTTTTTGTTAGGTTATCCATTGTGAGGGAGAAGATTCCTCCCTCACGGTGCATAAAATGGCCGACCATTTCTTTGTTCTCTTCGCAGTACAGCCACCCGCGGAAGCCCTTTCCAATTGAATACCGATTGTTTACAACTTCTTTTGACTAGCATAACGTATGACTTAATCTGAATTAGTGTATTGTTAATTGTGGATTATTATATCCGTGAAATATGACTATAATAAATTGTGAGATTCAACTATAACCTCCAGTGATCTTAATAGTGTTCATCTTTACCCGAATTGTATTGTGAATCAACAAGACTAAATCTACCTAATTGGTAATGACAGAAGCATAACAGTTTCATTCCAACTGATAAACTTGAACTCATCGCTCACCTCTAGAATTTGATGTAAAGTAAACTCAGTAAAGCGAACATTTATCCATCTAAGTGAAGGTTAATTCACCACCACTTCATCATCCATTATGCTGGCCGAGCAAATCCTCAACTCTCGTTCTCCTTGATCCATCTGGCTACTGCTACAATCTTGAATTTCTTTGTAAACTTAGAACAAATAAAATATTATCTTTCTGTAAAAGTAAATCTAGCTTCCAATTCAAACTTTATTGATAATGTTGAAGAAAAATTCGGAGCATATATGTCTCCCATGGGACATAGGAATATCAGTATAAAAATAGTTCAGTTAAATTCAGTATAAAAAATAGGCATAATAAACATGAAAATACAATGATGGAAATGTGCATAGTTAAAAGTACAATATTTTCTGTTTGGATTCACCGCTAGAGTTACCTGCTTTTGATTGGAGTGATACAATTGTAATGCATTAAGTTTGTATTGAAAAGCCCTAGTGGAGAAGGCTTGAAAGAGAGAGAAAACATATGCTTAAATTTTTGTGTTTTGGTTTGTTTTATTTTACTTGAAGTTAATCATCATCACAATGTAATCCCTAATAAAAAGCGAAAAAAATATTGAAAGATTGAAAAAGTCCATTAAAAAATGACTTACCATTATTTACGGGACTAGGCCTGAATGTACATTTAACGGTGTTGCCTGCATGTATGTCAGTTCTAAAAACATGGTGGGTGCCAAATTTACAATTTACCCATAACACTTTGATTGGTTTTGGTCTTAGCAAACATTCGGGTCTCTTTTTGCCAATATCTTCTGGGTAATGAAAATAATTAGATAAAATATTTGCATAAAAATTTACGCTAGCGGAATTAAAACTTACTTGCACCATTCTTCAGCTAATTCCGTTGGTAATCTACCAGTCTGTTTATATGAGGTTCCATTGGTCCGTCAACATGTAGATATTTGCAGCCAAGTCCATAACAGTAACCACGATTGACAAAGTTGCGACAGAAGGTTACGTTAGAATTGTTTAATTATGTCTGATAGGTTTCGCTTTGTGAATTCAAACAAAGGTGCTAAACTTTTAGGGCTTGACAATTATATTCATCGTCTGACTAATCTGTTAGCTTCAAGATGAGAAATCGCAATCATGCTTTCTCTATTTTGTCTTTCTCTCTTTTGCTTTCTCTGTTTTGCCCTTCTCTTTTATAAACCCAAACCGCTCAAAGGTTTGAAGTAATTGTTAATTTTTTTGAAATTAATGTAAAAAATACAGAATCCGTATTTCAAACAATTGAATTCAAGGTGTAAACTCTTTCGGTTGCTCGAGTTTATGGTTTATTGTTTCTATTCATAATGAATTATTGAATATCATTAAAATACAAGGATAATTATCAAATCAAATCTGAATAGATTTTGAAGAAGAGAAAAAATCAGTCGATCTGATTTTTTACACGATTTTCTTAGACTTTTTACCATTAAAGAGTCAATCAGCTAGGAAATCGTGTCTAAGTTAATCAACCATAATTGAATGTTAACCGTTTTTACTGTTCAAAATATCGTTTGAAGTTGCAAGTAAACAACATTAAAGATGAACCAATTTCCACCATGAACTGTATAAAAAGACATTAAGTTATATTATTATATTGAAACTTTCACAAATAATCAATAGTCGTAAAAAGATATCGATTTCATATTAAATGTGAACATCAAAAAATACAGTGAATCTGTAATACTAACTCTAATGAAGAAATCCTTTCCAATTGTTGTTATTGAACCCAATTGAATGCCATTATTAGGGTCGGATAATCGTTCCATTAATTGTAAAATCTTAAACAATAAAAAATCAAATTAGCACTTTTCTTTACATATTTTTATAATAAATTACCTTAAACTGATTGCAAGTATTGAACACATTGTGTCGACACATTGTGCGGATATGAAAATATAAGCGCTCATTCTGTATCCGATGTAACGATTGATGACCAAAAAATTAAGGCAAAAATTAGAAAACTAAACCGTTGTAAACTTGAATGAATACTCACTTTAATAATGAACTCTCGTGCAATGAATGAGAGGTAAACAATAACGATGAAAACGATGCAACCAATTGAACCAAGCGAATTAGCGTATAGTGGTGAATGGAAACGCATGATAAAACCATAAAATATAAATATATCACAATTAAAGGCAACGATAGTGAATACACAAAGGACAATATAACGAGTAAGTTTAGCACATTTTTCCAATTCATTCAAGCATACAAATGCGTGTTTGGCTAAGGTCGAGGCAAGTTGATCCGTACATTTCGTGTTACGATACAAATCCGCTAACTCGACTACTGATTTCAACCTGAAAAGGTGATACAGTTGTACTAGAATAAGATAACCAAAGATGGCAAAATATTTTCCAATCAAGGTAAAGGTGACAATAATAGCGACTAGACTCCAGGCCAAACAGTAAAAGGGCAACTGTTTGACTAGATAAAAGTGTGGATTGAAGAGTAGTACGGAGTAGTAGACTGCTGCAAGGAAGATAAAACAAAATATGAAGCTGCGGTGCAGTTGAGTAACCAGAATGTGGATTGTACGATGAAATTTAATTGCTTGGTTTGATGTCATTTGCAAGTGAACTGGTTCAAATCCATGCTTGATTATGTCCGAGTAAATGGCCAAAAAACTATAATTACCACGTTTATCGTATAAAACAAGCCATTCACTATTAACAGCTCCAAATAAGAAGCACATTGTAAATAAAGTGTTAACCATTGAGCGATGTTTCGTCTTGTAAGCAACGTCACCTAAATACAATTGATAATCCTCATTGTATATTGCTATTAAACAAATCAAACGAATCAAGTTGATTTGACCAATTGCTCGCATAATTAGGCTGTAATAGTCTGTTTTAGCTGATTGATGAGACACATTTTGAGCAAACCCAAATCGAGAGGCACGAAAAAAGATTGAAAATTTTTCAAATTTTACAAGTTGTTCAATTGTCTCTTCGGATTTCAAAGTGTGATTCGGCAATCCTAATAGTAAATTGATCAATTTGCTTTTAAAAGATGACAATGAATAATGTGGCCATTGACTGAAAAGATTCATTTTCAATCTATCATACAAATGCAAACCATTAACCAGATTTAAAAATTTATTAACTATAAGGTGTTTTGATCTTCTCATCAGAAAAGTTCAATCAATAGCAATTCAAGTACCCAGTGGTTGACAAAGGTAAGTTTACAAATTTACAGTTGCAAGCACTTTAGTTGAGACTTTGGTGGATTTGCATTGGATACCAAATGTTGTATTACATTTAACGAGATGGAAATAATGATCATGTAACAAGAAATTTTGTGGGAAACTCAATTAAAATGATAACCTTGGCATCTGATGAGAAAAGTAATATTGTTTAATGTTTAATGTACAATCGTTAATGTTTAATGCATTTGGTGTGAATTGATCAATTTGGTTTTGAAGGATGACAATGAAAGATGTCGCTATTAACTGGAAATTTCACAGTCAATTGATTATACAGATGAAATGCACCACCGAAAGTCAACGTTCATCAATATAAGTTGGCTGTTACGAACTAATGTAAGTATAAAAAAATATCGATTGATAGCAATCCCAGTATTCAATGATTGAAGGAGGTAAGTTTCCTAGATTTACCAATGCAAAGCCTTCGAGTTGAACTTCAGTGGGCTTGCATGGACATTAAAAGTTGCATTAAATTTATCGAAATCATGACAAATAAACTTCTTATAACGAAAACTTTCGTTGGAAACTCAAGGAGAATCTTAACCTAGGCATTTGGTAAGAAAAGCACTATTGTTTAATGTTCAATCGTTTGGGTTGTCAACAGTTCCATCCAATATTTCCAGTGAATGAAACCAAGTTTTTTTTTGGATTGAAGTGTTGCTTTGATGAATCAAAATCCAGCCGATTAGAGCACATAGAATCCAGCATAAATCGAGAAATAAAAGTTAGTCATGAGACTGTCCAAAGTTGATCGCATAACAACCCAAATATAAAGCAACAACAGGTTCAAACTCGTAATTTGTAAAAAGATAGATTCTTACCGTGAATGATATTAGCGAAAGTAAACAAAGCCAAGAGATACAACGGTATACCATGGACTTGTTAAGACTAAATAAGTTAACCAAAGGAATGAATATTTGGTAAAATATTTAGACAGTTTAACCCTTGTTTTAGGATAACTTTAGCTTATCCATGTTTTTTGATTGTCACTAATTGCTAACCAGCTTTTGTGAATCAACTGTTAAGATGGATAGATGGCAACATATTTACATCTCTTTCATATGAAAACAAGCCAGACAAATAGTTTGAATTTAAAACTTTAATATTGATTGCATGTTAAACTTAAATAAATACATAAATAGTAATAATTTAAATAGTAATATATTGAATTATTATTCGTGACAAAATTGCACTTTTAATCAATCGAAAGAGCGATTGAAAGAAATGCTACATTACTGTATCATTACTGAATCGAGTTGATCAACCGAATTGTCTTCATTCGAATCATTTATTTCTCAATCTTCTTGTACTGTTCCTTTATATTAATATTATAACTATTATATCTCGTTAGACGCGTTAGGTTTGCTCACGTCTAGTTTATGCATATCTGTACAATAATGAGTTAAAACATCAAATTTTCGCTCAAAAATTGTGGACAAATTTAGTGGTTCTAAGGGAAATAATCCAAAGTTTAGCCTAATTTAGGCTGCTGAGAAATTCATGTACCTAGATGCAGCAGAAAAGATGCAGAATCCGTATTCTGTACAATGGAATTTGGGGTGAAAACTCTTTTGGTTATTCAGGTTTATGGTGTCTTTTTGCTATTCATGTGATCTATTGGTTTCCGTACTGGATTCGACTTTTGATTTTACATAAATATTTGCTTATACTTTTTACCATTAACGAGACAACCAGCTAGGAAATTGTTGCTGAGTTAATCAACCATAATTGATTGTTAATGTTCAAAATATTGCTTGAAATTGCAAGTAAACAACATTAAAGATGAACCAATTTCCAGCATAAACTGTATAACAAAATGAAATTGTAATGTGTTCATTATATTTAAACTTTTACAAATAATCAATATAATATAATAAAATATTGATTTCAAATAAAATTTTTTGAAATTAACATTGAAAATCTGTAATACTCACTACAACAAAGAAATCCTTTCCGATTGTAGTTATTGAGCCTAATTGAATGCCATTATTAGGTTCGGATAATCGTTCCATTAATTGTAAAAACTTGAACAGTCAAATGTTAATATTTTCATTTACATCTTTTAATGATAATTAGAACAATAACTTTTGTTACGAACTTTTGAGTTTAGGTTTGATGGGTTTATACAGGTTTAATGAGAAAATCGAGGTCAAAGGGGAAGCTTGGAAATTTATGTTCAATTATGGAAGCAGATTTTTCTTGAAAAACTCATTTCGCTGATCATGGGTTGATATTTGTTAAACGAATTTTTTAATATAAATTTCAATGCGTTTTCAATATTCATATTTGCTTCATATGTGGTTAATTTACAACAGATCACTGCGTTTTTCGACAAAACTCGTTAGAGTTAGCCTCAGTCTTCTATTACAAACCCATCAAGTCTCAACCCTTGACTCAAAAGTTTGAGTTTTTGTCATTACTCCTTACCTTAAACTGATTGTAGACATTGAAAACATTGTATCGATAAATTATTTGAAGATGTGTATGCGAACGCTCCAACTGTATTGAATGTCAATTAATAACCGAAGAAAGAGATGAAATAGTCTGTCGTTACAGATTTGAATAAATACTCACTTTAATTTTAAATTGTCGAGCAATGAATGAGAGGCAAGCAATAACGATGAAAACAACGCAACCAAGAGAACCAAGCGAATTAGCGAATAATGGTGAATGAAAACGCATGATAAAACCATAAAATATGAGCAGATCACCAACGAACGCAATGGCAGTGAACACACAAAGAACTATAGCACGAGTCAATGTAGCACATTTTTCAGATTGATTCAGACATTCAAATGTGAATTTAATGAAAGATGGTGCAAATTCATTGGTAATACATCTAAATCTACGATATGAATCTGCCAACTCGACTGCTGAGCACAACCTAAAAAACGCATATGCTTGTATTGAGAAAAGATAACCAAAAATAGCGAAATATTTTCCCAGCAAGGTAAAGGCGACAAACATTACGACTAAACTCCAGGCCAAACTGTAGAGAGGCAACTGTTTGACTTGATAAAAGTGTGGATTTAATATTAGTAACGAGTAGTAACAGAGTTGAACGAAGATACAGCAAGATATAAAGGACCGATTAAGTTGAGTAACTAGTATATGGATTGTACGATGGAATGCAATTGCTTGGCTTTTCGTCATCTGTAAGATCAATGGGTCAAATCCATGGTTAATTATGTCCGAATAAATTTTCACAGCACTGAATTGGCCACTTTTATCATACAAATTAATCAATTCACTGTTGACAACTCCCAATAGGAAGCAAAGGGTGACTAAAATGTTAATTATTGATCGATATCCGGTCCTGTATGCAAAGTCACCTAAATACAATTGATAATCCTCATCGTCTATCACTATCAAACAAATCATACGAATCAAGTTGATTTGGCCAATTGCTCGCATAATTAGGCTGTAATAGTCTGTTTTAGCTCGGCGATGAGACACATTTTGATTGAATCCAAATCGAGAAGCACGAAAAAATATTGAAAATTTTTCAAATTTTACGAGTTGTTCAATTGTATCTTCGGATGTTAAACTGTGATTCGGCAATCCTAGCAGTAAATTGATCAATTTGCTTTTAAAAGATGACAATGAATAATGTCGCCATTTACTGTAAAGTTTCATTTTCATTTTATTATACGGATTAAAAACATCAACATTCATTATAAGGTGTTCTGATCTTATTATAAAAAATATCAATTGATAGCAACACAAGTATTCAGTGACTGAGGAAGTATTTCAAATAGTCAAATATAAAACCTTCGAGTTAAGTTATAGTTTATATGGCAGTGGGTACATGTATTGTACTCAACAAAATCGTAACAAATAATCATCAAAAAACCAAAAATTTTCTGGGGAACTCAGCCTTGGGTATTAAAAAAACTCAACCTTGTCATCTAATAGGAAACAATATTGTTCAATAGTTGAAAGTCAATTTAATATTATCAAAGTTTAACCATTTAATTCAAACATTAAATTTCAAATCAATAATCGCTTTTTGTAATAGAAAATCATGCAGAAAATAATTGAAGCATCATTAATGCTCAACATTTTAATTTTATCATTTAAAGTGGAATCAATATTTGGCATTTAATCAGAGGAAAAGATTTCTCTTGTAGTTTTATTATGAAACTCGACAGTAGTATTGAAAAGTCCTACTCTGAGCCAACTTGTCTTCTCTAAACCATACGCGTGTTAAAGCCTATAATAAGCTACATATATTTGATTCGTGTTACCTAAGTTAGATTTGACAGGATTGAGGCGGTAGAAATTCTTTCAACAGGAAATAAAAAAGATTCGAAGATGAAAGAAGAATCTCGACACATTCCTTGCGTATGTTAATAAAATTAGTTGGCTTCCCACAGGAAGAATTTATAAAACAATATATTGAGAACCTCGAGAAAAAGGATAGTAACTTTTACTTTTTCATTTGTGTTAAAATGCATTTTCTACTATCACTTTTTCATTCAAAATTGAAATATATACTTCATCTAGCTACACATTCAAATCAAGCAAAAATTAATTCCATTGCTAGAAATAGCTATTTCAATTAGTTCATAAAAGCTTGGAAAAGCCATTTTTAATTTTGAATAAAAGTTAAAAAAGACATGTAGGCTGCAACCCGCGTGTAGCCTAGACTGACAAGTTGGCGTAGATTAGGACTCTCGACTGGATAAATATTGGTATGTTGAGTTGAACGAATGGCGATGAGGTGAATTTCATCGGTAAACTTTCTTATTGTAAATGGGTTAGGGATAGGTACAATATATGTGATATTTGATCAGTAGATATTGATCGTGATGTTGTTTCGCTCGCCTTTTCATTCCCTTTTCTTTCTCTTTGTTCCGTTTCTCTCGCTAATCTTTTCAACTCTGACTTTTTGCTGAATTCAATGGAACTTTTTGGCTCACTTTTTAGTCATAAATTTTGTTTCTTTTGCAATGTTAAGGGTCACATTGACTTAAAGGTTATGTTTGGGTAGTGAGATAGCAATCTCCTCTATGTTAATTTAGCCAAAACAAATAAGAATCATCACATATTCCTCTTGAGAGTCCGAAGATTCCCGACGACCCAAATTGATGTAAATTTTTACATCCACTGTTAATCCCACTGTTTCATTATATTCGGCAATTTTCTTTTCATTCTGCATATTGTGGTATTCTCATTTTTAGTGAAAGGTTTTAAATTGATTTAAGTCTTTCATATCAATTTTATATTATATAATTAAGAATACAACTATTTCGGTGATGAATTCTAAGATCTTCTCTGTGCATCTCTCAATCATAATTAACTTTTTATTCCAGGAGGTGCTTGCAGGGTTCAAGGATTTGGTCGGATGAATTGATTTCCTTAGCGGTTTCCTCAAACAACTTAAGAAAAATTGAATAAGTGGTGAAGTAAAACGTTTATTGGATGAGCTTTTGGAGGAGTTTAATCACCAATCAAGACTAATTTACAAGTTGGTGCTCCATGTTTGGATATGGAAACAGTCAACAATCTGCGGATGAGGAACCGACCATTTTTCTGGCAAGAATGACTCAGGAGGAATCCTTCTTCTGATCTTTTGGTGCCCGGATCTTCAGTACCAATTTACAAGAGGCAAGTCGACACCACAACACCTCCTCGATTCTCAATCAAGGAGGGTAAACATCTTGGTACCTGTGTTGATGGTTTCCTGTTCGGCTCTTGTTACGGACACAATGACACGTTTAATTCAATTGATAACAATAATAACGGTCATCATCATGTGATCAACAGTATCTCATCATCAAGTTTGGGTTACATACCATCATCATCATCATCATTTTCATCAACAAAAGCCATCGAAAATTCATCACATTCATTTCACAGCCTTAAGCCAACAAGTAAACCGTCAAACTTTTCATGGTCCCAGTCATCATTATCTTCTCCTAATTCACCATCCTCATCCTCATAACCATCGACATCATCATCATCATTCTTAGGTGAACGGAGCCATCCGTTTACGGAGTATATTCATCTGTAACCTCAGCTCCTCCAACGACCAAAGCTCCATCTTCGTCAACAACATCTCGTCCACAATCCTATTGGAATCAATTTGAAACCTGGAATACTTCTCATAGTCCTTTACATGCACAAGTATGGCCTGGTCAAATAAACACGACTACACGACACTTATTTTATACGATTTTTGTAAACGATTAATGTGTTACATGTAATCACAGAAGTTATTATAAATAAGCGTCAGGTCGACATTAAGCGTCTAGCTGTTGTATGTTGAATAATCCAGAATACGGGAAGATAGCGATCTCCTCTCTGTTGATTTTAGCCAAAACAAGCACGAATCATCACAATATTTCTTTCATTTCATTTAATACAATCTGTGCATTGAATATTTTGAATACAGTCACCTACCAGATACTGCACCACTCGCAAAACTGCTAACAATTCAATAGCCTGCACCTTATTTGATTTTATGAGCCCTAAATTGCTTAATGCATTCATACAAACTTAGTTCGGGATGATCTCTATGAGATTTCGACGATAACTTAAACTTAGCAACAAATTGAATGAATAAAAAATTGAAAATAACTATAAAATTATATCAAATTGGAGCTCATTACATTTTTCGTTGAAACAAGTCTTATTTGTTGATAATGTGTCTCGCCATGCAAATTCAAGGGTTTTATTAATATTTCCATTCATTATCAGTTATACCTTACAAAGAAACGGAAGCAGAATAAGTATTTTACACAATAAAATTCGGGAACAAAACTCTTTAGTTACTTGTTTAGGGTTTATTTTTTGATATTTGTTTGCCTTTAATGTGAATTATTAGGTATAATTTAATAAGATTAAATGATTACAGATCGTATCATTGTAAACGGTAAAATAATCATTCGATTTAACATTTTATTTTATAAGACTCGCTTATCTTTTTACAATTGCGGTAGTCGTAGTAGATAGTCGTGTCTAAGTTAATCAACTATAATTGATTGTTAATAGTTTTCAATTCTTAGAAATATCGCTTGAAGTTCATAGTGAACAACATCAAAGATGAACCGATTTCCAACATGAACTGTATAAGAAAAACAAAGTTCTGATTATAATATTTAAACCTTACCAAATAATCAATATATTTATTTATATATATTCGATATTTATTTGGAATTTTTTTTCTGGAATGAGATTGAAAAAATAGTAAATCTGTAATACTGACTTTAATGAAGAAATCCTTTCTAATCGTTATTATTGAACCCAATTGAATGCCGATATTAGGGTCGGATAATCGTTCCATTAATTGTAAAAGCTTCAAAAATAAACAATAAAATGTTATTACTTTTCCTTTCCATCTTTTTTATTAGAACAATACCGGCAAAAACTCGAACTTTTGAGTGTAGAGTCTAGATTTTGTGGGTTTCTACAGTTTATAGCACCAATGGAGTCAGTTCTTATGCTTCTAATGCAAACCTATCAATTCTTCACTCTGAGCTAAAATTTTCAAGTTTTTGTCATTACTCCTTACCTTAAACTGATTGTGAACATCGAGAGCATTGTACCGACACATTATTTGAAGATTTGAATATGAACGTTCAATCTTTATTTATTGCCGTAGTTCAAAGACCAAAAAATAGGTAAGTCTGTCGTTGCACATTTGAATAAATACTTACTTTAATAATAAATTCTCGTCCAATTAATGAGAGGTAACCAATTACGGTGAAAGCAATGCAACCGAGAGAACCAACTGAATTAGCAAATAGTGGAGAATGAAAACGAACAATAAAACCATAAAATATGAGCAGATCACCAATAGGTACAATGACAGCAAACGCAGAAAAGACTAAAGCACCGGTTAAATGAGCACTTTTTTCCCATTGATTTAGACATTCAAACGTGTATTTGATGAACGTCGAAGCAAGTTCATCGGTGCATTTTAATCTACGATAGGAATCTGACAACTCGACTACTGAGCGCAACTTGTGCATTGAATATGCTTGTATTAAAAAAATATAACCAAAAATAGCAAAATATCTGCCAAACAAGGCAACGGCGACAAAAATAACGACTAAACTCCAGGCTAAGCTGAAATAAGGCAACGGTTTGACTTGATAAAAGTGTGGATTGAAGAGTAATATGGTGTAATAGCACGGTTCAACAAAGAAACAGATAAATATGAAGCTACGGTTGAGCTGAGTAACCAGAATATGGATTGAACGATGAAAATTAATTGCTTGGTTTGATGTCATTTGCAAGTGAACTGGATCAAATCCGTTCTTAATTATGTCCGAGTAAATGGTCAAAACACTGTATTTACCACTTTTATCATATAAAACAATCAATTCACTGTTGACAGCTCCCAATGAGAAGGAAATGCTCATTAGAATGTTAATCATTGATCGATATTTCGTCTTGTAGGCAAAGTCACCTAAATACAATTGATAATCTTCATTGTCTATGAGTGTTAAACAAATGCAACGAATCAAGGTGATTTGATCAATTGCTCGTATAATTAGTCGGAAATAGTCAGTTTTAGCTGATTGATGAGACACATTTTGATTGAAGCCAAATCGAGAAGCACGAAAAAATATTGAAAACTTTTCAAATTTCACAAGTTGTTTGATTGTCTCTTCGGATGTTAGACTGTGATTCGGTAATCCGAACAGTAAATTGATGATTGTGATTTTAAAAGGTGACAATGAATAATGTCGCGATTTACTGAAAAGTTTCATTTTCAGTTTATTATACCAATGAAAAATATCAACGAAAGGTAAAAAATTATTCATTTTAAGTAAATCTCAATATTCAGTAATTGAAGTTTTACAGATTATAAAAATTTAGACTTCAACATCAGTTTAGACTGCAGTCGATCTGAATGAACATTAAATGTTGTATTGCATTTAACAGAGTAGATACAAAATCCTCATCACAAAACAAAAACTTTTCTTGGAAACTCAAGTACTAATAAAAGCTCCACCTTTTCATTTGATAGGAAAAACAATATTCAATTGTTGAGGGATTTGATATGAGAGTTTAACCATTTAATTGAGACATTAAATTTGAAATCAATATTCGCTTGAGAGAATCAAGAATTAAAAAAAGAATTGAAACATCAGTTGTTTAAAAAATTTACATAACGATGTCCATTGAGAGAAGCCGAAGAGAGAGAAATGAAAGAGAATGAAGATGAAGAGAGATAAGGTGAAGAAAGATAAGGATAAGAGAGAAGTCTCTTATCCTTATCTTTCTTCAGAGAGAAGATAGAGAGTGAAAAGAGAAAGAATCAGTTTAGACTGCAGTCGATCTGAATGAACATTAAATGTTGTATTGCATTTAACAGAGTAGATACAAAATCCTCATCACAAAACAAAAACTTTTCTTGGAAACTCAAGTACTAATAAAAGCTCCACCTTTTCATTTGATAGGAAAAACAATATTCAATTGTTGAGGGATTTGATATTAGAGTTTAACCATTTAATTGAGACATTAAATTTGAAATCAATATTCGCTTGAGAGAATCAAGAATTAAAAAAAGAATTGAAACATTATCAAAGTTTATCAAGTTTAGTCATTAAAAGTCGAATCAATAATTTGCATTTACGCAAAGGAAACAATTTCATTTGCAAATTTATCATGAAACTCGACGAGTTAAATACTTTTTTTCATTCAATGAATTTAATGTAATAATGTGCATCGAGTATTTGCGTGTGAATCGCGGGTTAAGAAAAAATGCTATGACTTCATGAGGTGTCAGTGACACACTACTAGGCAATCAACTAAACAATCTTCAACTATTCAAGTTCCAAGAGTCCAAAGTGAATCAACAACTAGACCCTTAAAAGAAGAAGATTCAGTCTCCTAAGACATCGCTTATTTAAATTCATCAGTGCAATTTGTTCCTCACCAAACTGATTGTTCGAAATATTATTGGCGTGTCCATGGCAGGTCAATGGTCCTAAACTGTCTACCAGGAGCCTTATGGAATCCAAATGGTAATCGATGTATTATGTCTCGCAGTCTAAACAAACTCGGGCTACGCTTTCGCTAGTAAACTTTTAGTAGTATACAACTTCTCGTGGACGCTAGTTAAATAATACATATGTACTTAACAATAGTTAGTTTTTCATATTCAGAAATATCGCTTGAAGTTCAAAGTAAACAACATTAAAGATGAGCCTATTTCCAACATAAACTGTATACAAAAGATATCAAGTTATTATTATCATGATATTCAAAAATTCAAAACAAAAGTTTTTGTTGAATTGAAAATCTGTAATACTCACTACAATAAAGAAATCCTTTCCAATTGTAGTTATTGAACCCAATTGAATGCCATTTTTAGGTTCGGATAATCGTTCCATCAATTGTGAAAGCTTGAACAATAAACGATCAAATGTTATTACTTCTCTTTACATCTTTTATTAGAACAACAAAATTCACACTTTTGAGACTTGGCGTGTTTGTACAGGTTAAAATCGAAGCAAGGTTGAAACTACGAACCTTTGGTCAGTTATGGAAGCAACCATTCACTTTTGTAAATCAAGAATGAGTTATTTGTTATAGCCCTGATGACCTCGGTTCTTATGCCTCTACAAAACCATCAAGTCTTTACTCGAATTTTTGAGTTTTGTTTTTACTCCTTACCTTAAGCTGATTGTAAACATTGAAAACATTGTATCGACAAATTACATGGAGACGGGAATACAAACGCTCTATCTGTATCCAATATCACGATTGATGATCAAAAAATTGAATAAATAGTCATTCGAATAAGTACTCACTTTAATTATAAATTCTCGTGCAATGAATGAGAGGCAAGCAATAACGATGAAAACAATGCAACCAATTGAACCAACTGAATTAGCAAACAGTGGTGAATGAAAACGAACAATAAAACCATAAAATATGAGCAGATCACCAATAATGCAACGACAGTGAATGCAGACAAGACTATAAAACCAGTCGATTTAGAAAATCTTTCCAATTGATTTAGACTATCAAATGCGTACTTGCTAAATGTTAAAGCAAATTCATCTGTACATTTCCGTCGTTGATGAGAATCTGCCAACTCGACTATTGAGCGTAACCTAAAAAACGAATGTGCCTGTATCAAAAAAAGGTAACCTAAAACAGAAAGATACCTTCCAACCAAGGTAAAAGTGACTAAATTGGAGACCAGACTCCAGGCCAGACTGTAAAAGGGCAACTGTTTGACTTGATAAAAGTGTGGATTAGAGAGTAATATGGAGTAGTAGCGAGCTGCAATGATGAGACAACAAAATATAAAAATCCGTTTAAGTTGAATAACCAGAATATGGATTGTACGATGAAATTGAATTGCTTGGTTTGATGTCATTTGTAAGAGCACCGGGTCAAATCCATTGCCGATTATGGGCGAGTAAATTGTCAAAGCACTTAATTTACCACCTTTATCATATAAAACAAGCCATTCACTGTTAACAACTCCAATCAGGAAAATAATAGTAAATAAAAAGTTAACCATTGCTCGATGTTTAGTCTTGTAAGCAAAGTCACCTAAATACAATTGATAATCCTCATAGTCAAAAACTGTTAAGCAAAGCACACGTATCAAGTTGATTAAAACAATGGCTCTTCTAATTAGACTGTAATAGTCAGTTTTAGCTGATTGATGAGACACATTTTGCTTGAACCCAAACCGAGAAGCACGAAAAAATATTGAAAACTTTTCAAATTTCACAAGTTGTTTGATTGTCTCTTCAGATGTTAAACTGTGATCCGGTAATCCAAACAGTAAATTGATCAATTTGATTTTAAAAGCTGACAATGGATATTGCCGCAATTTACTGCGAATTTTCACCTTCAGTTTATTATATAAATGAAAAATATTAAAGAAAGTTAGAAGATTATTCATTATGAGAGGTTTGATCGTATTACCAAAAATATCAATAGCGATTCCAATTTTCAGTAGCTGAGGAAGATAAGTTTCACAGATTTACAAATGTTAAGCCTTCGAGTTAGACTAGAGTTGTGACCTGCACGGACACCAAATGTTGAATTTCACTCAACAAATGTTAACAAAAAACAATAACTTTTCTTGGAAACTCGAGTATTAATAAAATCTCAACCTTGGCATCTGATAAAAAAAACAATTTTGTTCAATCGTTTAGGATGATTGAATATCATCAAAGTTCAACCAATAAATCCAGTTATTAAATGTCGAATCAATATTTGCACCATGGAATCGAAAAAAAAGAGTTGAAACATCATTAAAGCTGAACAGTGCAATTGTGTCATTTAAAGTGGAATCAATATTTGGCATTTGATCAAAGCAAAAGATTTCATTTGTAATTTAATCATGAAACTCGACAGGCTAAATATTTCTTGTTTTTTGATGAATTAAAATAATCTGTACATCGAATATTTGCGTACAAATTGAGAAAAAAAGATTTGATTTCCTGAGGGTTCAGTAAACAATTTACCGCAGTCTCTCTATCGTTAGCTACTAAAACTCCAAGTGTCTAAGGTGGATCAGGTAAGTCTTTATGGTTTAGTTGAAATTAAGTTGAAATTAATAGACCATACAATTGTTTATGGCATTGATCAATTAGCTTCAATATTGAGATCTGTCCTAAGAACAGTTGGTATAAGAGGGAATCGCGAACTAAATTGCTAAACAAAGAAAAGCAATTGAATCAGCCATAAAATGGGGTAAATAAAAGCACCAAGCAAACACTGAACCATGAAGATCTCATCCAAATAAACGGTATAGTTGAAGCAAGAATGTTGATCGCATAATCACCCAAATATGAAGCAACAACAGGTTCAAACTCGTAGTTTGTAAAAAGATAGATTCTTTAGATAGATTTATTCTGATATTGATACAAAAATAACATGTACTCTATTTATAATAGTAGCTAATACTTGATAACTGCTGTGAATTTTTGAGTTTAATTGGATTACAATAAAAATTAGCATCTAAAATTAAAGCGAAAAATAATCAATCGATTTATTCAATTGCATATAAAGATCTGCTTAGGCTTTGCACCATTGGAGAGTCGATCGACTAGGAAATTGTATCCAAGATAATCAACCATAATCGTTTCCAATGTTCAAAAATATCGCTTGAAGTTCAAAGTAAACAACATTAAGGATGAACCGATTTCCAACATAAACTGTGTACAAAAAGACATTAAGTTGTTGTTATTGTAATAATATTTAAAAATTCAATACAAATCAATATTTCATTATACTGATTTGGATAAAACACAATTTTCTGGATTGGTAATATTGAAAAGCTGTAATACTAACTCTTATGAAGAAATCCTTTCCGATTGTTGCTATCGAACCCAATTGAATGCCATTATTAGGTTCGGATAATCGTTCCATTAATTGTAAAAGCTTCAACAATAAACAGTCAAATGTTAATTTTTTGGCGACATCTTTTCACTAAAGGCTTCATGATAAAAACTTTAAGTTTAAGTTTGGTGTTTTTTTAGAGGAATAATCTAACGATTGGTAACAATATCTTGATTGTAAGTTCTACCTTCTCGAAATTTTGAGTCTCAAAGTTAGTGGTCAAAAGCACTGTTAAAAAGAACTGTTGATAAATTGCAAAAAAAGTGTTAAAGCATTGATGTGAGGCAATAATTTTTGTCAACAAAAATTCGATCTGACTCGTACTCGTGATTCGTCATTTTGTTTCTCAAAATGCAATGCTGGTTGTTCATTAAAAGTTGCATCTGTTTAATTATCATAGTTTCAGTTGCAAAAACCATGATTGCAAAAACGAAAACTGTGGATCTAAGAAATTTGTTAACAACATTAATGAACTCAATATTTGCCTCTACAAAACG